GGACACAACATCTTTGTTTGTATGTGGTGCTGAGGATCGAACCCGGGCCGCACGCATGCCAGGCGAGCGTGCTACCGCTTGAGCCACATCCCCAGCCCTGTCCTCTAGCTTTTATGTCACACCATTTGTATTTGCTGTCTTTACTTTTCAGTCCAATGAAACCCTTCTGTTTTCTGCTAGATCATTAACTCCCCTTAAAGTAGGGCCCATATTCAGTCACCTGGGACCAGACCTGCATTGTAGTGGCTCCTCAGTAGCTGTGTTGCATGAACATGTAGTCAAGGTAGTACAGTGGGTTATTGCCTGTATTAAATGCAGAAATCCAGGAGGGACCATTAAATTGACTGAAAGTGAGTTAATAAAAGAACACTGTTTCTTCATTTAAAAATTCATGTGTTTTGCTTCATCAAAATTTCCTCAGTTCAAGCAAGAGGTGGATAAAGGAGAAACTAGAGAAAGGAAAAGATAAAGAAAGCCCTGTTAGGATCTCTGTTTCTGCCCTCATATTTAAGGATAGAAATGCTGGTAACCAAATCTCCTATCACTTCAGCCCTCATTAGGGAGTTAGAAAACGCAGTACTTAACATAGTTCATGGTCAGAGCTGGGCAGAGGAGGTTTTGCAGTCTTTGAAAGACTCCTAGCAGTCCATGGTTAGGCTGCCATCTGCAGGTGGTKGGTGGTATTACCACTCTTTCAAATTGGACTTTAAAAATGCATTTCCTGTTGAATTACTAATTATTTCTCTGCTGACTTTATGCTTTGATTAGATCAATAGCCATTGTTTTCTATTGGTTCTGTTCAAAATTTTATTCAAAAATTTGAGTAGCCAAATTTAATTCTGAGCTCTTTGGTTATTCATAAAACCTTTGAATAAAAGTAACATGTCAGGCTGGACATGGTGGTGCATGCCCTGAGTCCCACTGGCTCCGGAGGCTGAGACAGGAGGATCGAAAGTTAAAAGACAGCCTTCGAAACTTAGCAAGGACCTAAGCAACTCAGTGAGCCCAGTGTCTAATAAAATACAAAAAGGACTTGGGATGTGGCTCAGTGGTTGAGCACCCCTGGTTAAAAGAAAAAAAAAATCAGGATGAAAGCAAATGTCATGCTGAAGGGGAAGCAGTTAGTCGCCCACAGTCTCCCAGGAGTGAGAGGGGCATAGTTTAAAGTCTGCCCAGCAGGAAAGGCTGGGGTCTGGGTGGGGGAGATGTAGGTTGTGCTTTTGCTTTCTGTGTTTGTTCACACCTGCCATCTGTAAAATTTGAATGATGGGGGTTCTGGAGCAATCAGGTGACATTTAGGATTGGGCCCTCAGAAGGCAGGTTTATTTTGCAATGATTTGCGTAAGAGATTATATTTTAGCCTGAGTAGAATTTAGCTATAATAATGAATGAATCACTCAACTTAGAATCTTTTCCCACCCTTCGGGATGGCGAACTTTGTTCTCATCTTTTGCAGGACAACAGAAAAGAGTTGAACCTTAAACATTCATCTAATCCACATCTGCACTCTACTAAGCAATGGAAAACTAACAGTTTTTCACCTCATTCTTAAAAATCCCAACAAGGGGAAATTATGTTTCTCAGTTGTTCCACTGTTGAGTATGATTCTCACTGGCAGGTTCTAAGTTTTTCATGAACTAGTTCCTTAAAATCTTTTTTAGGAATTACTTATTTTAATCTTCATATATAAGAAGATAATTATTTTAAACTTCAGCCTTTTCACAAACTTAAATATTTAATTTAATCTGTTCTTCAAGAATTTTCAATGCTATCAACTCACTTATAACTAGGTCCTTCCCGTCTTAGAGGATATTTCCACTTCTTAACCTTTAAAACCACAGTGCTCCATTGTTAAAGTCTCTTATTCCTTCCACTTTGATACTTTCCCTGTTACCTTCTCCCCCTGCTGCCTGGGCACATCACTAGGTGAGATGTGGGGATCTTCTGTGTGTCTTCACCAGTCAGGAGGACGAAAACAGCAACAACAACGGCCTTACTTATTTACGCAGAACTCACCAGTTTAGTGTACGATTCAATGAATTTCCTAAAGTGGTCTTCCACTGTATATATGATTTTTAGGAAATACAACCATCACCACAATTTTAGAATATTTTCAAAAAGAAGCCCTATATCTTCAGTTATCACCTCTCATTCGCCTTCCCCAGCACAAAGCCACCACTGATCTATTTCCTGTCTCTTTCTGATTTGCTCTTCCAGACATTTTGCATACTGAAATGTTACCATATGTGACCTTCTGTCTGAATTCTTCCACTTAGCATGTTTTCCAGGTTCATGCATGTTGTAGCATTTATCAGAGCCTTATTCTTATTTGTGGCCAATTGGTTTTTCCATTGTATGTATCTCACATTTTGTTTGGCCATTTAGCAGTGGATGGACACTTGGGATGTTTCTACTTTTTGGCTATTATGAATAGTAGTGTGTGGGAGTAGAATTACAGGGCCTCAGTGGGACTCAGGCGACAGGAAGATGGCAAGTTGAGGCCAGCCTCAACTTAGCAAGGCACTAAGCAACTCAGTGAGAACTTGTCTCAAAATGAAAAATAAAAAGGGCAGGTGGTAGGGAGGGAGAGCATGGAAGGATTAGMTGAATTCTAGATAGGGAAGTGGGGTAGGAAGGAAAGGGAGGGGGCAGGGGATAACTCCGTGTGTATCATTCAAGGGACTGTCAGATTGTTTCCCAAAGCGTCTGTGCCATCTAACATTTCCACCAACAGTGTAGGAAGGCTTTGGTTTCTCTGCATTTTTGCTAACACTTGTTATGTCTCTTTTTTATTCTAGCCATCTTAGGGAGTACATGTGAAGTGATATCTGAGGYTTTGATTTGCACTGCGCTGTGGCTAATAATGTCAAACATCTTTTCACGCGCCTTTGGACCCTTATACTTTAAAATGTCTATTTGGTTTCCTGGCCCATTTTTTTCCTAAGAAGTATTTAATAACAGCATTTGCAGTTTTAAATAATTGATGTTCATTATGGAGGCTCATTGCCTCAAAATTCAGTATTTTTTATTAGTTTTAGAAACCTCAAACATTAAACATTTTGAGGCTTTTTGGTCCTTGCCCATTTTTAAATTGTACTATTTGTCTTTATGTTAAGTTTTAAGAGTTCTTATTATACTCTAGATACAAGCCTCTTATCAGCTATATGATTTGCAAATTATTTTCTCCTATTCTGTGGGTGGTCTTTTCACTTCCTTTATCTTTTGAAACAGATTTTTAATTTTGATGAATTCCAGTTTTCTTTTTATTTGGCTAGATTTGCTTTCTGTAGAATATGTTATAAATTATTTCATTTTCCCAATAGAAAATTATAGAAAATATGTTTTAAAAACTGCACCATTACCTCAGAAGCACAGACGTAGGGGGTTTTTATTCATCCTTGCCATGCTTTTATGAATGCTTCAACCATTTTCTATTTCATTTCAAATTTTTTTACACGTTTCTAACTGGAGAGTTAGAACTTAAAAWTTTTTTTAAATCCCATCTAATATTATATAAAAGAGGAGCGGTAATGTTTTATAGGACTTATATTCTGATCTCACATGTCATACTACATTTTTTAAATAACTKTACACAGTCATTTCACGACAAAATGTGAAAGGCCTTTCACCCAGATGTCATCGAGTGCTCCAGCTAGACAGCAAGTCTTCAAATCAGATTGTCACAGTAAACATGATAATAACAGGTGATGAATTTCATATGGATCATCTTCCTTCCTTTTCCAACAGGTATGGCAGATCCCGGAAAATGGACTTACCCTCTCCCTGACTGAACCTGTGGTGATTTTAGAAGGCCACTCGAAGAGAGTTGGCATCGTGGCCTGGCATCCGACAGCCCGCAACGTGCTCCTCAGTGCAGGTAGGTGCTCAGCAGTGCTTCCCCGCCGCTGGCCCGTCCTTCACACAGCCCTGAGATAGAGGGAACAATAGGTGTGTTTTGAGTGTGTGCTGCATACAGTGTTGAAGCAGAGCAGTAGTGAACCATGGTGAAGTGCATGTACAAAAGTTAGTTTATGGGGCTGGGGCTCAGTGGAAGAGCGCTTGCCTAGCATGTGCGAGGCCCTGGATTCGATCCTCAGCACCACATAAGAATGAATAAATAAACAAATAAATAAATAAAATAAAGATATTTTTTAAATGTAAGCATAATATATATTTAAAAATTAGTTTACACACAGAGATGGCTTTGTACACTTCACACGTGACCTCTTTTTGCAGTTAGTGGTACACTTCACTCCTGTCTATATCATTAAATGTTCTCCCTATAATATTTTTAACGACTCTCCACAATAGTCCATCGTCTGTTTAGTCAGCTCCCTATTCCTGAACAATGATGGTCTGACTTCTCACCGTTGCACAGCACTGCAGAGCACCCATGTCTTGGTCTTAGTGTGCTTACTGGTTTCTCACTTGAGTGTTTCCCAAGTTTGATTTGCAGAAATTTTTTCCCTTTTGCTCAGAATCTGAGATTTTAAAATTTTCTTCATAAAATCAATACAAAGGGCATTAGGGAGCTTTTGGGTAGAAATGTTCTAACCTGATTGTGGTAGAAGCTGCATGATTATATATGCTGATTGAAACAGTCTAAGTATGCTTAAATAGGTGCATTATATTATATGTAAATTATACTTTAATAATACTGGTTTCTTGRAAAAAAAAAAAAACTAATGTTAGTGGCAGAATTTTTAAAAATCTTTCCCCTTACCAGTAAAAAAGAGAGAGGCAGTTTAGTTTTTAACTGGGAGCAGAGGATGTTTATGATTTTTGATCAATTAAGTAAATTGAATGCCAGGAACCTTCTGAAACCAAGAACCACTTTTCAATAAAAGACACCAGGGCTGGGGATATAGCTCAGGCCCTGCGTTCAATCCCCAGCACCACCAAAAACACAACAAAAAAACTCTGTGTAGGATAGTTTTTTTTTTTTATAAGCATTGGTTCACTGTACTTGGGAACTTTCCCAATGATTTACACAGAACCTCTGTCTGTTAAAAGGAAAATGTCCTGGAGGTAGAATTCCATCAGACAAATCCTGCTGCCCTTCTCATTGAGGTCACAAATAGGGTGTCATCAGCAGATTGCTCCTGGTTCTCCTTTTTACAAGTAAAGGGCAAGGTTTGACTGGAGCGTTTTGCGTATTTTAAGACTATGAGATCCATCTGYAGTGGCTGTTTGCCTGTGAAAGCAAGGCTTTAAAATTGCTTTATTGGCAAGAATTCACTTTGGGGTGTTCTTTCTCTGTTTTATCTTTGAACTGATGTTCTAAGTATTCTTCCTTGCCGACAGCACTGGAGAGTGAGTTCAGGGATACTTCACCACTGAGCTACATCCTCAGTGGACCCCACCTTTAAAATATTTTTTTAGTTGTAGATGGACACAATAGCTTTAACTAATTAATTAATTAATTAATTATGTGGTGCTGAGGACTGAACCCAGTGCCTCACGCATTCGAGGCAAGCACTCAACCACTGAGCTACAACCCCAGCCTCTTCCCAGCCCCTTTTTTATTTTTTGAGATAGGGTTTTGCTAAGTTGCTGAGGCTGACCTCAAACTTGTGATGCCTGGGGTTACAGGCTTATGCCAACCTACCCAGCTGATGCCCAGCTTTAAAGGAGATTGGGACAAGATCCTTTAATGATTTTATTTCTATTGTATGCTCCTTTTTTCTTTGTCACTTTTGGTCTTGGATTTCCAATAAGTAGAGCCCCTTATCTCACCTGCCTTTCCGTGCATTTATTTATTTCCTTATGTTCTTCTGGCTTTCCTGTACAGGTTTCTAATCTTTGAGGGGCTTGGTTTTGCTTGTTTCAGGCTGTGACAATGCCATCATCATCTGGAATGTGGGGACAGGGGAAGCCCTTATAAACTTGGACGATATGCATTCAGACATGATCTATAACGTGAGCTGGAACCGGAAYGGCAGTCTGATCTGCACAGCTTCCAAAGACAAGAAAGTGCGAGTGATCGATCCCAGGAAGCAAGAGCTTGTTGCTGTGAGTATGTGAGGGCAAAACCCAGGGGCTGTGGACTTCAGTGTCTGTGGGCTCCTTGCTTTTAAGGCAAGAGAACCACTGGCTGGTGGCCTTGCGAGTGCAGACACAGTGATGAGGGAGCAGAAGCGTGTCCAGGCGTGTCCACGTGCAGCCTTTACTCAACTCACCTCCCTCCCTAGGTGGCCATTTTTCATGAAGAGTCAGTTTTTCTCAGTTCACTAGTGTCCTTAAGCGCTCACAGATCTGGCTCAGCTAAACCAGACTACATGCCTGGTCTTGGGGCTCAGTGCTGACGGTTGATTAGTTGATTCTGCTCCCTGTTCCAGAAGTGATTGTTACAGAGCCTTACAGAACTGCAGCAGGTTCTCATGAGGTCAGTATGTTAGATTCTACTCCCTAGTTTGAAGAGCAAAATTGCAAAAGGTAGACATTTGGATCTTTAGTCAGACTTGCAGTGCCAAATACTGAATACAGAACATCTTATTTCACCCATGCTCTGAGGCCCTTCCTGAGATATGTTTGGTGTTGGTAGTGTTACATCTGAAGGGTACTGTGACAGTTGTGGCTAGTGCTTACCAAGCACTGGGGACTTCCCATCCCCATGCAACCTTTAACTATCCAGAATCTTCCTAGGGTGGATATGAGGGCACTGTGGTGGTGAATACCTGTAATCCCAGTGGCTTGAGAGGCTAAGGCAGGAGGATCTCAAGTTCCAGGCCAGCTGTAGCAACTTAGCAAGACCCTGTCTCAAAACATATAAATAAATAAATAAGTAGGTCTGGGGGATATGGCTCAGTGGTTAGGTGCCCCTGGGTTCAATCCCTAGTTCTTTAAAAAAAAAAAAAGAAAGAAAGAAACAAAGGGGTTAATTAGATTCAACTTCTTGATGTCTGGTAGTGCTGGTAGAAATCAGAGCCTACACCCAGCCTTCAAGTCATAACTGTCTTGAAAAACAAGGCATTGGCAGAGTCCTTCTATGTCCTGTGTCTGCAGTGTGTGGACCTGGGTTGGCAGCAGGATGTGGTGGAAGGAGTGAGGTTTTTTGAGTCAGATCCTGGAGCTCTTGCTTGTTAGCTAGCTGGGGGACTTTGACAGGTCACTAGTGCTGCTCTGATTCCTCACCTTGGGGTCATGGTCGACATCAGGAGAGTGTGGGTGACAGGTGGGGTGAGGGAGGGTCAACATGTGGTTTTCCCACCTTTCCTTCTTGCAGTTTGAATGTGCATAACGTGCCTCTTGCTCTCACTCCCAGGAGAAGGAGAAGGCCCACGAGGGAGCCAGGCCCATGAGAGCCATCTTCCTGGCTGACGGCAACGTCTTTACCACTGGGTTCAGTCGCATGAGTGAGCGGCAGCTGGCACTCTGGAATCCCGTAGGTTCCCTCCTTGCCTCCCGTGTGCTTCACAGAGCATTCTCTCTGTTGGGGCTCTGGGTTGTTAAGTGTATGAATATAGGATTCTTAGTGTGGTGTTCTGAACTCCTGCTTGTTGTCAGTTGGACGTCAAGTCCCTGTCCTCACTGGAGATAGGCAGTGAATATATTTCAAAAATGCGTTCTTGTTACTCCCAGGGAGCCTTATGCTGACTAGATTTTTAAAAAAGAATGTGCAAAGAATCCAATGTTTTAGATTTAGGAAATCAATTCTACACTTATTTATATTTCACAGACTATAATTAAATGTCTAAATCAAAATAGTCATGCTTGGGAAAGCATTCATAACTAGTGGAAGTGGGAAGAAACCCTGAACTAGAGACAGTTACAATGTTCTCTATGTCTTCTAACTTTTTGAAAGTTTGTATACGTATTTATTTTATAATAAGGAAAAAAGTACCTTTAAAAAAAGAAATGAGCTCAGAAGAAAAGGACTGTCAATCTTTGTCTTAGAGTCACACATTTATGTTGTTAAATCCATATAATTTTCAGTGAGTTTGATCCCTCCTGGTGTTTATGTGAATGAAATTTATATGTGCATTGTTCAAGCTTTATGTTATTCTTGGAAAATGGCTCACTTATTTGAAGAATGTCTAATAAGTTATAGAATTTGTCTTGTAAAAATGAAGAGACATATACATATRTATGTTTTATTTTCAGAAAAACATGCAGGAACCAATTGCTCTTCATGAAATGGACACTAGCAATGGGGTTTTGCTGCCTTTCTATGATCCTGACACCAGTATCATTTACTTATGTGGAAAGGTAAACTGATTTCAATATTAAATTGAAAAGTATATTCCGTACCCCCCACCCTTTGTTTTTTTTTTAAGTGCTAAGGATCAAACACAGGGCCTCACGTGTGCTAGGCAGGCACTTTACACCCAATGAATTCATTCCCAGCCCCATCATTTAAGGTTTCTGAGTTTTCTACTTTGTGTGTCTTAAGCTGAGATAAGGTCTCTAGATCACCGTTTGTCACTTGTGAATTGTGTAGTGATAACATACTCTGTTCAGTGCTTTTGACTAACACAGGGATTGGGCTAGAGTTTTGGGATGGCTGCTGTTGGGGAATCTTCACTACAGGCCTCCAGTGAAAAAGAGATGATGCGCCTGGACAGGTGTTGTTCACTGGTCACCTAGAGTGTGCAAGGCCCTGGGTTCTATCCCAAGCAGCACAAGACATAAAAGAGGACATACTGGTGTTCTGTTTTCACCGACTACTTCTGCACAATGGGTGATTTTGGATCTGTCTGCGTTGTTATTAGGTATGGGGCTGGTATGTCACGTTTAATGCTGGAAACTATCACATAACCCTAGATCAGTGAGTATGTTCTCAGTGCCACCTGCCATGGGCTTGTGAAGAGAACAGTGCTGTGTGCAGTGAGCTCTGACAGCCTGCAAGACTCTCCAGGGCTCTCTGGGTGGTTCTGGTTCCTGGGGTTCAGCGTTAGAACCCTGGGCTTGAAGATTTCCACTGACGACAAAAAGGTTTCAGAAGGTGACAACTGTTAGGTACAGGAAGATGCCACCCTGAAGTCAGAGTGCCTCCTCCTGTCTTCCTTCCTCAGTGTCGCTAAACTGTCGATAGCTTTACTGCTGTCGTTATTTCACTTTTGGAAATGATAAATTCACAGTTCCTTTTTTTTTTTTTYAGGCTGAATTCCTTAGAACTTTTTTGTAGTTGAAGTAATAGTAAGAATGCTGCTCTTGATGTATTCCAGACCCACTTCACCTTTTTATCAGTTATTAAAAACACAATTCAGATTCCTTGATCAGGTTCCCTCACTGAGGTGTCCATTTTCAATTGCTTGAGCTTTGTACAAATGGGTAACCTCCTACCTGAAGTTGCTCACAGGCTCTTCTTCATCTTATTTCCAAGACTGCAGAGCAGAGAGTAGCCTCTGTTTTGAGGAAGGTGGAGTTAAGTATACATTTGTTTTTTACTGTGACTTGTTCAGGACCACATTTTACAAAATGCCTTGTTTCCTTTATTATTGTTTCCTGGAAAGGAAAGTTCTATTAATATTGTTTTAGTTTGAATATAGAATAGTTTTTTAAATTATGGCTTATTTTGAAAAAAAATGAGCTTAATTCAAATGTATGCCAATACCTTCCACACTTAAGGTAATATTCAGAGACAGTTGTTTTGATCAGATGGTTTAGAGAAATTTCTGGAATATTCACACTTGAATATTCCTTATTAATTGATGTCTTTGACTTAAATCTAACCAAAAACTGCAACACTATTCTTTGTACATTGTCATTATATAGTGTTAACAAGCTTAGTTGCAAATAAAATACTTAATAAAAAAAAGGTGCTTTTGTTGTATGCCCCAAACCTGTTAGAAAGCCACCTTTGTGGGTGATGGTTTCCTTTCCACAGTTGACAGAGGGTGCTTCTGAGCTACTTTGCATTTCTTTTTAGGTCAGTTACCTAGAATCTGAGATCTTGTCTGTTTCCTTGAAAGTCACTTTACTGCAGATGTTAACAGCTGTTAAGTACATAGGCCTCACCCTTGCTGCATTAAAACAAACCAAATGAGCACTTTACAGGTAGTATTGGTGTGAGATGGAAAATCATTTGCGATATGCAGAAAATGACTAGTATGTGCTTAGCTTCTTTTCCATTGCTTTATATCTTTAAATCATTGAAACAGCTGGAAACTATGAGAACCAAGAGTCTTGTTAGGACATCATACTGCCTAGCTCTTTTTGTCTTCTTGTGTGCATGTGTGTGTGTGTGTGTGTGTGTGTGTGTGTGTATGTGTGTCTGTCTCTGTCTCTCTCTCCTCCCCCCCAGATAGGGCCGYCTTCATTGTTTAGGTTCCTGTAAGGGTGTGACTGTTATTTATGCTTAGATTAGCATATGCCTCAGACTTCAGATCTCCCAAAAATATGACTGTTCTAAATATGATAACTGTAGAATTTTACACATTACAATGAGATAGTTCTACTTTTTGAAGCTTAAGAGTACTCATGAAGGGCTGGGGCTGTAGCTCAGTGGGGGAGCCCTTGCCTAGCACATGAGAGGCACTGGGTTCAATCCTCAGTACCACATAAAAATAAACAAATAAAATAAAGGCATGCTGTTCATCTACAACTAAAAATTATCAAAAAAAAAAAAGAAAGAATGAATGAACATGAAAACTGATGTTTCTTAATTAGAAAAATCTCACTTTTTGCTGTTGWCAGATTGTCTGGTGTTGAGCTGTCAGATCTGTGAACAGTGCTATGTGGGATCAGGGAGCAGATCCTACAATCAGTGACTGCATGCTCAGCAATTCACTCTTTTGTTTGACTTTTGATGTTGAACTATTGGGCAGAAATATGGAGGAGATCTTTTAGGGCACGGTAGTGATCTGTCGGTAGTGAGGGCTCAATCTCTGAGGAAAAGAACCTTACATACTTCAGGACAGCCTCTTTATGAAAGTGAAAAAAGGTCAGCCCCTGAGGCCCAGTCCCCATGAGTGCTGGGTCGCACAGGAGAGAGACACCCTCCCAAACTCGCTGTTTCAGATACTGTTAAAGACAAACTCATCTCTGATTTTTTTGTAGGGAGACAGCAGTATTCGATACTTTGAGATCACGGATGAATCCCCATATGTCCACTACCTCAACACATTCAGCAGCAAGGAGCCTCAGAGAGGCATGGGTTACATGCCCAAGAGAGGACTCGACGTTAACAAATGTGAAATTGCCAGGTAACAAATTGATATCGTAAAGTATTGCGATTGTTCGTGCCGTTGGTGTAGCACCAGAGCCACACAGTTCCAAGGCCTTCTGTGTGCCCAAGGCTCCCTRCCCCTGCATGTGGGTGTGTCCTGCTCATATAACTGGGAGCTTAGCAGTCCAGTGGCAGAGCTGAGGTGTAGCATACACTTAGTGAAATAGTGACACCTTCCTCTCTGACTCCAAGCTGAGGCTGGAGTACTGGTCCCCTGGGGGGTGGGCAGGTGAGAACCTGGCCCTGGAATGGAAAGGGGGTGGCTCTCTGCTCTCAGGGGGATAGGACTGAGCTCCATCCTGGGTTGTGGATCCTTCTGGTCCTAAACTAGAGAATGCAGGGTTCTACGATGATTTGTGAGTCTAGTTTGATATAGGAAGTTCAGCTGTGTTGTATGACTTTTACTTATCTATACTTGTCTTGAATTTGAAGTTTATATCCTATAACACTAGTRGGCCTCCTACGGGCACATTTTTTTTCACAGTAGTCAACAGGAGATATTCAACAGACACCCAGTGGCCAGTGACCACTTTAAACAACAGAATAGCAGCACACTATCAATCATACCATGCGTTAGTGTATCATGAAGTTTATATAGTTTGTATGGGTTCAAACCCCAGCACCCAAAACAAACAAAAKAGCAGCAACCAAAAATGTTTGCTCCTCTGGTCACATGATTAAGAATTGATACTTAAATCTTTAAAAATAATAGGAGGGCTGGGGTTGGGGCTCAGCAATAGATCACTTGCCTAGCACATTTGAGGCCCTGAGTTTGATCCTTAGCACCACATAAACATAAATAAATAAAATGAAGATATTGTGTCCAACTACAACTGAAAAATAAATATTAAAAAAAATAAAAATAATAGAAAAAGAATTTTTATAAACTTTATATGAATATAAACTGAGTTATAGCTCCAGCCCTTAATTTATATTAATCATTATTTTTTTAAATAGCTGGGACAATGAAAGATTGTCCCAGATAATCCAGAATTGCGGTTTGACCAGACTAACCCAAGTGTGGTTTAAAAGGATTGAATCTGAACTTAAGATTACACCCAATTATTTAGGAGCACATTCAAGAAAAACTTKGAGCACAGCTGTTTGGGACCCTCCTGTCTATCTGTGCTGAGCCTTGATTACGTGTCGGACCCTGAAGTAAACACACCGTGGGTGACCTCTTCTGCTTCTCCCCACAACCCAGGAAGAGGGTGTTTTTATGCCCATTTTATGGAGGAGGAGCCAGGGCTGGGGCGGACATGCTCCTAGAGAGGCTGCGACGCCCTGGCCCAGCTGGAAGTCAGGGCCACAGGCTTCCTTCACTGCGCTGCTGTTGCTGCTGCTGCTGCTGCTGCTGCTGCTTAGTTTTCACTAAATCTTTCTTTAAAATGGCTTTTGGTTTATCTGTGACCCTATTGAAATAGTGAATAGGCAAGTTTGACGTGGCAGTTTTTTAAAATGTGGTTTGGGGAACACCTGACTGGCAAAGCCACGCTCGGCTCTTGTTTCATCTGAGTGCTGCCCAGCACATGCCCCTCTGCCGGAGCTCACTGTGGCTCCCTCTCTTGCCAAGAACTTTGGCAAAAACTCTGGGTTATTTCCCTTCCTGGTTGGGAAGAAATTGGCTTCTCCTATCACTTTTATTATAATTTTTAGTTTTGTTTATTGTGAGATGCAAAAGAAAATTCTATCCCTTTTCCCCTTCAATTAGAGGATATTTTTTGCTCCTCCATAGGATAATGCAGTTTGCTTTCCACGTTTTGGATAATTTCAAATTTTCCTTGATGTGGGGTTTGCTTGAATACCTAAATGTCATTAGGTGTTGTGGTGCACAGCTGAAATTCCAGCAACTCGGGAGCCTAGTCAGGAGGATTGCAAGTACCTGCTGCCCTCCACCAAAAAAAACCCAAAAGACAAAATCTACCCCAAACCAAAATCTACTTCCTAGGATTCCTAAATCATATATAAATATGATTTTTTAAAAATCATATTTATACTTCACAAATGTTCAACTGCTCAAGCTGGCAGAAGACCTGGCATGCAGGGTGTAGTGACAGCTTCACATTAGGGGGGTCCCCACCTGTCTGCTACATGGTAATTTTTTCACAAGTGAATCAGTCCCAGTGTTGCTACTATTTCCACCACAGTCCTTCTGCCCCAGGTATTTGCAGATTGACTGTCACAGTAATCCACAGACCTCTACTCATGGTCCTTGTCTCCAGTCTGCCATTTTCTGGCAGAGATACGCCGAGCTCATCTGTGAAGTGGGAAAATGGGACCGCTTAAGTACCTACTGCCAGGGTGGATCAGAGGTGAGGGGTAAAGAAGCGTTCATCTCCCATATCCCCCAGCATTGTAGTTAACAGTTCTTGATCCTGTTACTCAGTCATATTTCACTTTATGGAACTTTGTCTTTATTTTTCCTTTGAAGATTCTTCAAGCTGCATGAGAGAAAGTGTGAGCCCATTATCATGACTGTTCCCAGGAAGGTGAGTGCCCAGCTTTCTAGGCAATCCATGTTTGTTTGTTTTAAATCCCAGACCCAGAACTGGTTCCTTCCTTACTGAAGTGTTCCCCCAAATGTGTTTTGCAGTCTGATCTTTTCCAAGATGACCTGTACCCAGACACGGCAGGCCCCGAGGCTGCGCTGGAGGCAGAAGAGTGGTTTGAGGGGAAGAATGCTGACCCAATCCTCATCTCCTTGAAGCACGGCTACATTCCAGGCAAAAACAGGGATCTCAAAGTGGTCAAGAAGAACATTCTGGACAGCAAGCCCACTGCAAACAAGAAGTGTGACCTGATTAACGTCCCCAAGAAGACCACGGACACAACTAGTGTGGTGAGGAGCACAGCAACTTGAGGCTTGATCTGTGCATGCCTTGTCCCCTGCAAAGTCCTCTGTTATGCAGGGCATTGCTGAATAGTATTCCGGCTGTGGACACCCAGGAGCTTTCGGTGACTCATAACATGCACTGGGCCTAAGAAAGTCCTGGGGCCCGTGACTTGATGAGTTATGGTCACCCTTGGCTCCTTTAGCTCTGGTTATTATATTATTAATTATTTGGTTATTATATTTTCATAAACAATGCCTGGAATAGATATCAGTCTACCACCATCTCTGAGAGTGAATAGGACGTTTGTGGGTTTTTCTCTTTACCCAAACCCTCCTCTGATTTGGGTAGAAATGAAACGACATGGGAGGGCAAGGTCCCAGGAACCAGGAAGAGAAGGTTCCTGGAAGCAGGCAGTGGTGGCAGTGTTGGGGTACTGTCGAGTGGTGTGGTAAAGGCAGGATCTGGCAGTGTGTGGGCTACCACAAGACAATCTTGGCAAAGCCATGGCAGAGGTGAGCACCCAGCCTACCACTGAAGACCTGCTGTGGCCACAGAATACTGAGGCAGCCGGGAATCAGGTCCTGGGAGGAGAAGATCCAGGGAGTGTGTGGGCTGGGGGCCAGGGGCGRGGGGCAGGGGAGGGGGAGTTTGGTCACTGAGAAGGTGGAGGAACCAGGAGGTACAGTGCCTTGGAGGAGCTGACATTTTCGTCCTTGACAAGGAGCCAGTACCYAGCCTTTGGTGGCTGTAGAGTTTCTGGATCAGCTCTGAGTGGGGGAGGCTCAGTCCTCTTTAGAAAAGCTAACAGAGGCCCAGGAATTCCACTCCCAGGACCTGTCTAGCGGGTCGAGAGGCTCAGCAGCCTTTTGGTAGGAATCACCCCTCGCCCAGTCCTGTCCTACAGTCTGTGACCTGACAGAGTCTTTGAGTAAGTGCACAGGCAGTGCTTTGGGGTCTCAGAGGGACGGGACGGAACAGCAGCAGTTATGTTCTCATAAGGCCCACATGTGGCAGGTTGTGACTTCTTTTTCCAATTTGATGACTTTGGTTTGCCATTTGCCAAACAGAAAGTTACATTTTAAGTCCTGTAGTCCGAATCGTGTTGAAGTTTGTTTACTGCTTTCTAATCACTGCCCCCCCTTTTATTTTCTCAGCAAAACGAAGCCAAGTTGGATGAAATTTTAAAAGAGATCAAATCTATAAAAGACACAATCTGCAATCAAGATGAGCGTATTTCCAAGTTAGAACAGCAGATGGCGAAGATAGCAGCCTGAAGGTTCCTCCCACCCTCCGGAACCTGGGAGTGAGAACTTGGGCTTTGGTAGCTGGTTGTTGGTGTGGTCCGAGGGAGGGTGGAGGGGGAGGCACTGCCATTGGGAGACATTCCATTTCAGAGTTGTCAACCAGCAGCGATAGGCCACATTCCAGTAAGAACTCGAGCAACTCCCAAATTTGCAAAAAAAAAAAAAAAAAAAAAAAGGAGAAAAGGAAAAAAAAAGCTGAGCTTTTTATCAGAAAGCTTTTTTGATGTTTTAAGTGTTATGTGACTTTTTGAACTCTTAAAGACAAAAGTGCTACTTTTAAAATCCCAGATATTCTGAATTTTAGAAAACAAACCAATTCCAATTCAGTGTCATGCCCAAGTACTTTTTTTTAAATGAATAGGGACCAATGCCACATTGCTTTTTATATTTCTTTCTTTTTTTTAATGTTGCCAAAACCAAAAGTAGCTTTTTTTCTTTATATTTTGCTACTTCGCAGTATTTGTGTGTGATTTTTTTTCCTTAATTTGAAAGGGACAGCACTGTGTATGTTTATAAACTAGATGAAGATATTATTTTGTATAAACATTCATCTGAGAACAATCAGAGCAGTAGCCACTGGCAGCACAAGCCTGGTCATCTTAATGACTGCGGAAGGAAGACTTGAAGAATCATGTGGACCTTCTCACTACCCTCTCATTCCGTTGAGTCTTCTGATGCAAAAAAGTGTACATCGTATCTCTTCCTTTCTTTCCTTTCTCTTTTCTAGAAATTGGGTGGTTGTACCAGAATGGAATTTTGCTTCTTGATTCTGTGCTTCAGATGATTATAATCTAACCAAACTAGCATGTGTCCCTGCAGTTTGTCACACATAGGCTCTGTCACATTCATCACTCCACACCTCACTGCTCAGGCTGCGGTCCGTACTTGACAGGGGCACTCGGACCAGAGCGTGCGCATGTTGTTGAGTGTCCCCTCTTGCCTGTCTCAGCAGCTTACCCGGCTCTTGCGATGTGCTGGGCAGGGAGCTTGGAGGCAAGCAGCCCTGGTGGCCTGCCACTGTCCTGAACAGTGCTGGAGAAGGAGCAGCTCTCCTTACACCCACAGAGCTCCTGCCCTTCCTCTGTCTGCTGCATGTCCCTCGGGGCCAAGCAGTCCTGCCCATCTTCCTGCCCTTAGCCCTAATCACATTCAGCAAAATGAGGCCAGAAGATGCTGTTGAGTGTTGAGACTGAGGAGAATGGCCTAGAACGCGAGGCAGAAGAGGGAGTGCAGGCCGGGCCGTGGCTTTCACATGTATGGATATGCCTCTTCGCCCCCGCACACAAACCAGTTCTCCAGCTCACAGCGGTGTTGGGCTGCAGAGGCTTCCTAGACCCGGAGTGGGTCAGAGACCAATGCTAGTCACCTGTTCGTTCTTAGGCTAGCTGGAACTTTGCTGCACTTCCATGATCTCAATTGCATGTTTGCAAAACCAGACTTGACGAGCCTCTGTTCTGGAAGGGCTGAGTGTGCCTGAATGAGCCGTGGAGTGCACGGGGGCCGTGGGGGACCTTCTCGTGTGCGTGCACTGGGGTGGGTACGGGGCTGACTGGAAGCYGTGTGGCCAGGGAGCCAGGATGAGGCAGAGTATGGTGGCAGCCAGTTGGAAGGCCTGTCCCCACTTGGTACTGTCCCAGCAGAAAAGGTACCATGTTCTTAACCAACAATATTGGGGTTGCTGTCTCCACAATTTCAGGGCATCTGAATGTTGAGTTTTGTGTGTATGTATGTGTGTGTTTTTAATATAGAAGTGGATAACGAGATGTAAAGAAAACAGTCATCACAAGGACATAAGTCAAACTTACATTTTTTTTTTTAATCAATGTAATCTGCTAAAGGACCTTCATTTCTAAGATTCAGAAATGTTTTAAGGTTCTGATATCAAATTAAGTAAAGAATTTTTGTGGTTGGTGGAACCCTATAGGAAAGGTGGTTCGAAGAGAAGAGGGAGGGCGAGGGACCGTCACCCTGACCTTAGTTTGTAGCTTCTGCTTATTTAATGAATGGATGCCCATCCAGGCCCAAGGAGGTGCCTGAAGCATTGTGGATTATTTTCCCTGTTTTGTCGTCGTCATCTTTTTTTAAAAAAATGCCGTGACATCCCAGAGGAGGACAGTGAATTACTCCTAGATCGGCTCTTATAGAGCACCATAGTGTTCTGTCAAAACACTTGCTTCCATTTTCAAAGATAAAAGTCATTGATTACAAATTGGTGTCCCGTGTTTCTTTCGCACCTCAGCCATCTCTGAGGCAGCCTGTGCCTCTCTGCCCAGCACAGCTTCTCTGGCTCTTGGGACCAGCCCGGTGACTCTCCACTCTCTGAGGTGAGTCCTGGGGGTTGGGGAGCAGCTGAGCTTGAGAGGGCCCTTCAAGGGTGGGTGGCTTCTCCAGATTCCCGCAGCACCCTGGCTCCAGTGTGGCCCCTTTCCTATCTTGGAATAAGGAGGAGGATTCCGTATAGTCAGATGAGAGTAGTGCCCATAACTGGCCACACAGCCAGCCTGTGGTGTGCACCCTCCATGGTCACCACGATGAGCTGATCCCTGGCGTGGCAGCAGCTACTATAAATGTGACAGACAGTCTTCACAAAGCTGCCGCCTCAGGTGCCTTGTCCTAAAGATGTCTTGTCTGTGAGCAGGACGGCAGCCCGGGTGTTGGTCAGCCCGGGGCTGCAGGGAGCAGAAGTTGGCAGACGCTATCTGCAGACCCACGGTCAGGGGGCAGGCGCATGGTGGTCTGTTTATAACTGACTTGTTTTCTGGCTTGGCCGCCTTGATTCTTTGCCAGAAGACCTAAAAGGCTATCATGTTGTCCCCAGACAGCCAGCCAGACCTTGTCTGGGGAGAACTTCCATTTTTTAAAGGTTACTTCCCTTGATGTGTGTCCTACGTCCAGAAAAACTTTTTGTTGGGTCTTAAGAATCTGTTGACTCTAAATGACCCTTTCACTTTATGTGGCCACATTAAAATGTCCTGAAATTATCACTGGGTTGTGGACATGAGTCATGTCCCTTCCTTTTGAAGGAGATACTTGGTGCCCAGGCTGGACTGTGCTCTTTGTTCCAAACTGCAGCGCCTGCCCTCCAGAGAATGCCAGGGCGGTGGGCTTCACCCCACTGCCATGGGGATGTGCGCAGGGTGGCCGCGCCCTCCTGGAGAGAGTCCACCCCGCGTACCCAAAGTCTGAGGTGTTCTTACCTTTTTTTTTTTTAGTTGTAGATGGACACAATACCTTTATTTATTTATCTTTATATGGTGCTAAGGCTGGAGCCCAGGGCCTTGCACGTGCTAGGAGAGCGCTGAGCCACCACCCCAGCCCCTCTTCTACCCTTTGACCCAAGACTTTCACCTGTGGGAATTCTGTCTCCCTGGAACCACTGGGCCATATGCTTAGGAATTGCAAGATGAAGAGCAGAAGGAATGTGTTTACGTTATGTGTTAGGTTCACGCACTATAATGTTGGGTGGTTATTTACAGTCACTTAAAAGATCATCACATAGGAAATAATGAAAAGACATTGTTAAATGAAGTGGCTTCCAGCTTTTGTTGTAGAAATCTGTCTCTCTGAGTTAAAGTATATTATTGCTGGGTGTCCACCACCAACTGCTTCTGGGTGTTTGAAGTAGCCCACCATGAGCTATGTCACTGATGTCAGGAAGAAAAAGTTAAATTTGTGTTTAAACAGTTGTCATAGCTCACCCTTGAAACCACGTGGCCTTCAGTGACATCAGTTGGCTTGTCTGCTCAGCATCAAGATGGGCAAGGAAGGCGGTGCCTGTTAGACCTCTTAGGAACCTGGGTGAGCCAGGACAGGAGCAGTGGCACACACCCGTCATCCCAACAGCTTAGGGGACTGAGGCAGGAGGATCAGGGTTCAAAGCCAGCCTCAGYAAACACGAGTCCCTAAGCCACTCAGTGAGACTCAGTTTCTAAATAAAATACAAAATAGGGCTGGGGGTGTGGCTCAGTGGTCAAGTGCCCCTGGGTTCAATCCCCAATGCCCTCACCCCCAGCAAAAAAAAAAAAAAAAAGATGGGCAGAAGCCAGTCTGCTTCACTCAGGTGGTTTATGACAGACCCTTTTAAGGATCTGTGTGAACAATTTTCATTTACATGTTAAATAAACACCAGAAACGTTACTGCAAGTTGTAGGTGGAAGTTGTGAGTCATCTTTATTTCATTGAGTTTTTATTTTGTTTTTTGAGGTACCAGAGATTTAACTCGGTGGCACTTTACCACTGAACCACATCCCCAGCCCTTATTTTTGAGTCGGGGTCCCGCTAAATTGCTTAGGGCCTCACTGAGTTGCTGAGGCTGAGTCTGGCCTCAAGTTTGCAATCCTCTTGCCCCCAGCCTTCTGAGGTGCTGCTAGGATTATAGGTGTGCACCACCACACCAGGCTTCAGATCTGATTTTCTAAATTTTCAGTTGATTTTCTCATTCCCAGCAAAATAATTAAAATTAATATATTAGTGATAAATAAACAATTATTAAAATAAACAAATTGCTGGGAAATAAATGGTGATATAAATGGTGCCGTGGCATTAAGATAGCTGGGAGAAAGACTTGAAACCCCAGAGTGTGGAGTAAATCACAAGGGAAACAATAGATCAGCCACACACAAATTAAATCATTTAAGACCTTAAGATGATAAAACATGAAGGCCACAGAAACTGGGAAATATGTTTTTAACAAGGATAGAGAATAGGTTTTGATGGGCTTCGTCTGGGTCCCAGCTGTCTCTGAGCACCCTCTGGATGGATGCGTGAGATTTCAAGTCTGATGCCTGGTGCAGGCCCATGTATACCGGTGGCTCCAGCAGCTTGGGAGGCTGAGACAGGAGGATCACAAGTTCGAGGTCAGGCCTGGTAACTTAGCAACCTTGTCTTAGGAAGGGCTGGGGTGGAGCTCAGTGGTCCAACCCCTAGTGCTGGGTCTAAGCTGAAGTCCAAGTTGGCTGACTCCTCCAGCGTCCCTCATCCCTGAGCCAGAAACCAGCAAAGAGTTCATCACAAATTTTCAGGTGGAAGGAGTTGGCTAGGAGACGCCAGCCTGGTGGGCCCTGATGAACTATTGGCTGGGGGACTGGCTGTGTGTCTGTCCAGCCTCACCGCTGCGGGGTGCTCCTCGGGTCCTCAGCCGTGGTGCGCACACCTTCCCCACAGCCCTGCATTGTCACCTGTTTCCCAGCCTCACCCCGTCCSCCGTCCCCTGTCCCCTAGACCAGTTCTGTCCATCTGGGCTTCCACTGCGCCAAGACTTGTGCTGACAAGTGTGAGGGGCTGATACAGCGGGCCCAGGGTCCAGCCAGGAAAGGTGTTCAGACTAAAGCACAGTGAAAATCAGCCGTCAAGCTCTCAGCACACAGTTCAAGCTCTTGCACTGAGAACCGGGAAGCTGTAGATTCACTTCCATGCTGAGGTGCTCTGTGGGCGTTCGCAGGTCAAGTGCCCCATCATTCACAGACTCCCGACTGCTCGGGCTGTCTTCGAACACCGTTCTCAAGATGGGTCGTCACTACCCTACCCAGTTTCCTTGAGGCTCACAGTTCCACGGAAAGTACAAGGTGGAGGTTCTGAGGGCCACCTGCCAGACACCCTCCTGCCCCACAGAGAAGCCAGGCCATTTCCTGACAGCCTGGTAACTGGTTCTCTGCCTCCAGCCACCTGTTCCCCTTTTCACTTCCAAATAATGTTTTCTAGAACAAAATCTGCCAAGGTGGCTGAAGAAGAGTGGCTCGTCCTCCCCTTGTCAGAGCCCACACTTAAAGCATTTGCCCACACATCTGGGTGCCATTAC